TTGTGTTTTTATCGTATGTTACCGTGGTGATAAAGTCAAGTCCAAAGACATCGGCCTTACTGATGCTGAAAACTTTTACTTTCAGCTCAACATAATTCATTATCCATGAACCTTGGATTGCAATACACTCTGTTGTGTAGTTAAAAAAAGAGTGCAGCTGAGGTTGATGAGAAAAAACATTGTCTGTAGGCAATTTTCCATAAACTACTAGGAGAGAATGATTTTATTTATTCATTGTTATTAACTTGGTAATGAGTAAAATATTAGTAATTAATATAAATCAATAAAAGCCATCTGCATGAAATTTAATTGGGTCTAACAGTGAGTCATGTAGATGTGCGCTAGTACACAATTACATAAATGGGATGTAAAGTGTCTGCTGGGATGTTTTCTCGTTCCAGATGAGTTCCCGCTCAGTGCTGTGCTTGTGACGCTGCTGATCTTCTCTGTGCTTGTAAATTTTGGTCTGATTGTCTCCAGAAAAAAGAAGCCAACTTGTGAACAGTCCAAAGGTACAGTGGTGCATCACATTTCCATTACACCACATTTGTGTGTATACACATTAATAGTATAACATTAGTATACAGTAATAGTTACCTTGCTAGTTGCCTTTAGAACTGCCTTAATGTTTCACATCAGAAATTCAACACAGCTTTGGACTCAACAAGGCTTTGCTACTGAACTAACGAATCACATGATAAAGCATTAAGAAATGCTTCTAAAACCAGGACATAGCCATGTATTAAACAAAATATCTTAAAATAGAGTTGGTTCTTTGTAGGAAACTGTAACTTGGAACAAAATCTAACAGACGATAATGCCACCATGTTGAACTGCAGTCCTGTGCTCTGCACCCAGTAATGCATGGCGTGATACATTTCGGTCAGAATTAGAATTATTATCAACTGCATGGATCGATCAGACCTGCCGTGTGAGTCCTTACATATCTATGTCACCAAACTTTAAGTGGAGACTTTCTGGATGAGTCAAAAACGTAGATTACTCAAACGTTAAGCACAAGTGCTTTCAAACTGCTTTCATCAGCATGACAATGACTCCACTTGACCTAAGCAGTCATTTCAGCAGACAGATTTTAATCTAATAGTCTATTTCAGAAGTGGTAAAGCAAGAGTTTAGCAGTATGAATCTTCAGGTACAAGCTCAATAAGGAATTAAAAATGATTTATTGATATGCAGAATTCACTTAAACTATTTGGAGATTGGACTCTGATGCCCCATTGCAGCAGAATGAAACGCTGGTGGTGGAGATGAAGATGGAAACTTGGCTGGAACCTGAGTAACATGAGAGAGGCAGGGATAGGGAGGAGGTGGGTTTCACAAAGGTGTTTGCAAGGCAGGATGACAGATTAACAGTGAGATTTAATGTATGCAGAGTGGAGGCTGAATGGCCTGAAGAAGGCGGACAGAGAGATGATTGGACCAGACCAGTGATGTCAGCATTGGAACAATGGTAGTGTGGGAAAGTAGAGTGATGTAAAGCATAAACTAACCAGCAAATACCCAGGAAGCAAACATAAGTGTGACTACAGAGCTTCCTTATAAGCTTCATTTAGGAAAGACTAAACTCTCAAATGAATGTTTCCATGAATGAAGCTGTTTTTAGAGCAAATGGATGCCCTATGCAGTATTACTATAATCTTGATAATTAGCTTCTTGGATCTGACCTAAAAGGCTTTAAAAATAAATCACTCTTAATGTTTTCTTTTTCTGAACAGGAGGAGAAACCGTCTCCACTCAGCCTCCAATCAATGACCAGGATAGATCAACTGCAGATCAACTGAGTAATGTGGTACATATTGTAAATACTGCAAAAAGCATGATCATAATGTTAGCATCCTACACTGGACAGATGCCATGGGTGACAAAGTCAATGCAGATTCTTAGGGCTGAAACACACAGCTAGCATTTTCTATGAGAAAACCGAGACATACTGAGATACAGGCAAAACTACAGGGTAGTAATCAACTTTACCTCACATCCTTTCAAAAAGTTGCTAAAAGTAGACTGTGGGAGATTTAGTAAAGTTTAGACATGAAAAGAGTTTGATTGGGCCTCAGTATCACACTTCACGTTCAACTTCAAACTATGACTATGTTCTGTGTGTTTAATATAAATTGTAAAACTGTTTTAAAATGGTTATTAAATTCCAATTCTGTTTTCTGTCTTCTAATTTCTGTTAATAATCTGCAGGACGGTGAAGAAGTAGGAGTCAACTATGCGGCGCTGGACTTCCCCTCGAGAAAAGCTAAAAAATGGAAGAATAAGTGGGAGCTACCAGATGACAGCATATATTCTGGCATGATAGACTACCAGTAAAATGCTCTCCTCATCAAGAATGAATATTTAACAATTTTTGTGCTGATATATTATTGTTAGTAGCACTGCAAAATAGATTAGGCTAGAGATGGGACATATGTTTTGTAATGCTGGCTATTTAAATCAAAAATATATATGTTAAGATTATGTGGATCTTTATATTATGTACTATCAGATTTGAGTTGAGTAAATCAAACTGAAATAAATATCAATCATAATTTAGTGTTAGTGAATTTTATATTCTCCTTTATGTTTCATGAGACACTTTAAATATACATAAAATTGACATGAACATGACATTCCACAAGAGGATATGCTTTAGATTAAAACCAAGACTTAGCTAGATGGTGTGACAACTTGTAGGGTGTTACTTACAGGATTCTGCAGAATGATGGTGGCAAATGCTGAAGGTTCTCTTTTCAAATTTATTTCCCCAGTTATTGAACCTAACTGTACCTTGACACTGATTATGAAGTGATACTAAATTTAAGTTTGACGTATCCTTAATAGGGATTGCAGCTTCGATGTAAGATGAAAACCATCCATTCGCTTCCGCTTATCCTTTTTCAGGGTTGCGGGGGGCGCTGGAGCCTATCCCAGCTGTCATAGGGCGAGAGGCGGGGTACACCCTGGACAGGTTGCCAGTCTGTCGCAGGGCTAACAC